GTGTGTGTGTGTGTGTGTGTGTGTGTGTGTGTGTGTGTGTGTGTGTGTGTGTGTGCGTGTGCGTGTGGTGTCAGGCAGCGTGTCACTACAGCGTTGTATGTTCAACTACTTGCTAATAATATATATGCGTGCAACACTGCTGGTGCATGTTCTAATGAACATCAGAAATAGTTGAATAAAAAGAAATAATACTATTAATAATGAGTAAATATTATGAATAATTATGACTGTCATAAGGCTAGGGTGTCATAATTTTTGCATGTGTGCAAAAGTTACACGATCTAAGAGTTAAGCTGTAATAACTACAAGAGTACAAGAATAGAGATGATCTATTTATGTAATCCTGATAATTATTCATGACGTTTCTGGCCTCCAGCCCCTGGCGCTGGCTGACGCTACTCACATGACAGTTCAGTGACAACTTCAACTTGGCATACACCAACATTGTTTGTTAAATAGGTTATTTAATAATATCTCGTTACATGAAGTTGTTATTATTTCCCCAGCCTGCCAGAAGGTGCTAGCGGTCCTGCATCGGCTGGTGAACAGGTGTGGGATGGACCACCCAGAATCAATAGTGATAATAAGGAGGAGCACATCTCGCACTCTATAAGCGACTTCCGACTTAGTGAGGATGAGGCCAAGAGCAGGCGGTATGTCGTAACTAACAGCAATCCGCACTTGTGCGTAACTATTTTTGAAACACACTACGGCGTGTTTTTCATGTCTGACAAGTCGGGGGGGACGAACCGTTTCCTTCGAGTTTTAATGAGAAACGTTCGACATGTTAGAATGCTATGGAATGTCATAGTTGAAGTCCCTTTTCACTTATAAATTCTGGCAAGTCAAGGACACATTTGGAATTGCCTGTAGGGTGAGCACAGTTGGGAGTGTCTAATTGGTCTCTGATATGTGACAATTTATTGTCGAAGGAGTGTGGCAGTACTTGGCAAACTTTCAAGGTTGCTACTTGATTAGGCTGTATAGACAGCACACGTGGTTATGTTCTGAACGCACACAGATACACTCAAACATGCATACTCACACATACAGACATAGATATATACTCATGCATGCACAACACATGCAGACATGCATGCGCGCACGCACTCTCGTAAAAATACAGACATAGATAACACGGAAACATAGACATGGGAAAGCATGCACACACAGGCACACACACACAAACATATACAATAGACTTATAATTGCTATTTTTTTGCAGAACGCTACAATTAATCATGTCGGAAATGTACCAGACAGAGCAGGATTACGTAAATTCTCTTGGATACATTATTGATGTAAGTATTATTCTCAGATATGCTGGAGCTAGCCAATCTTTTATTTAAGTAAACGTAATGTAATGGCCTTGATTATCACATAAATGATATGTTGGCCAACTTGCGATAGTTTAGCATTACATATGTGACAGGTGTCAGCAGTGTTAGTAATCCCATGTTTCATCCACAGCACTACTTTCCTGAGATGGAGAGGGAAGACCTTCCACAAGAACTGAGAGGCAAACGCAATGTTGTGTTCGGTAACATAGAGAAGATCTATGAGTTTCACAGCCAGTACTTCCTTGGAGCTCTTGACCAGTTTCGTGACGCTCCATTCCACGTTGGCCAGATCTTCCTCAGATATGTAAGTGTCCCATGCCGAGTGTTCATCCCGTGTGTTTACTGCCGAGTGTCCCTCAACGTCACATATACATACATGTACATAATTACATGTGATTGTAATAATATCCGAAGTTATGTGCATCTCATAATATACTGTAATTGCTCGTCTAATGGTTGTTTCTAAGATTTCATATATGAGTCCATTTTCATTTGATAATAGACATTGGGCACGTCAGATGCCTATATAGGGAAGTGATTTTATAAACATGGGTTGGATATCATTAAAACTCGATGTTCTTGTTTTCTGTTCCAGGAGAACCAATTCTACCTGTATTCTCTGTATAACAAGAATAAACCAAAGTCTGATGAGTTGCTAGCAGAGATAGGGAGCAATTTCTTTAGGGTAAGTTTTGTAAATACATTTGAAATATTTTGGTAATATTATTTCCCTCTTCCTTCTCGGAGTTCCAGACCACTTCTATCCCTACAAAGTAAAATGTTTTTTGATACAATATTAATTTAAATATTGATAAAACAATTGACACAATAACATTCATATAATTACTCTCGACACTAGTACTGATATGATAATTTACTTTTACCGGGGACACAGTGTAAAATACAATGTTAAATGGCGACATGCCAATACGGCTATACACGCTAATATAGCATTTAAATATCCATGATAGCTGTGTGTAATACGAACACATTGACTTATCCGTGATTACAGACTAAGCAGCTGCAGCTGGGTGACAAGATGGACCTAGCCAGCTACTTGCTGAAGCCAGTTCAGCGGATGGGCAAGTACGCGCTGCTGCTGAAGCAAATCCTGCAGGAATGTCCCGTCACCGATCCCTACCACCAGGAGCTGCGGGCCGCTGAGGAGATGGTGAAGTTTCAACTTCGTCACGGCAATGACCTCCTGGCGATGGATGCGTTGAGAGAGGCGGACGTCAGTGTGCAGGAGCAGGGCCAGCTCCTGAGGCAGGAGGAGTTTCTCATCTTGCAGGGCCGGCGGAAGTGCCTCAGACACATCTTCTTGTTCGAGGACCTGATTCTGTTCAGCAAGACGAAACACAACGTCAGCAAAGGCGGCCACGAGACGTACCAGTACAAGCACAGCATCAAGGTAAGGGTAACCACAGTACTGTAGATTCGGTGTAGCACACGGAGTCGAGAAATATCATGCTCCTACTGTTAAACAAGTTCGAATAAATTTGACCAACAAACGTAACTAGGTTTAAAACAAAACCTGTATATTCATGCATGTTTGCATTTATAGTGTTTAGCATTTGTTTGTTTAGAGTATGTAGTAGCGTGCACTAGCTGTGGTGCTATGCCTATGGCTATAAGTTCTGCTTTCTTACATGACAGATGACAGACGTCGGGTTGACAGAACAGATGGGAGATTCGCCCACCAAGTTTGAGATCTGGTTCAGACGACGGACGTCACGTGACACGTACATCATCCAGGCTGCCACACCTGAGATCAGACTCGCGTGGGTGAAAGAAATCTCAAAGCTGCTGTGGAAACAAGCTCTGCGTAGTAGAAGTAAGTTCTGCATCACGTCATTTTCACACTGTCCAGAATACCAGAGTAATCACCCTTAATAGCTAATAGTACAATGCGGTATTTTTCTCATTTAAAACTCCACATTTTTGTTAAAATAACTTAATTTATTTGTGATTATATTTTTTTAGTTATTTAGTATATTCATTTAAATTAATCTAATCTATTTTTAAATGGTGGTTTTCATGTGTGGCATCTCGTTTACAGGTATTCGGCTACATGAGATGACCTCTATGGGGGTCGGTTCACGGCCAATGATGGATCTGAAGACTAGCAGCCATCAGATCAACGACCGAACCATCAACCCTCCAGTGTGCCAGCAATTAAATATTAATGGTGAGCACCGGTGTGACAGCGTAACTTGCTTACATCTTAAAAATCCAAGAAGCTTTCAAGTGGTTTCGAATTCCGACATCATGTGAGATCTGGTCTAACGGGCCTGCGTGGTCGGCGTTACTTGATAATCGTAAAGCCATCGATCGCCTCTGTGTGTTTCAGCATCTCGGTTTCGCAACTCGATTGCTGTGAGCTCCTTCGAGCATCTGCAGCTGCAGCAGAACAAGCGGCCGCACTCTGTGATCTCCATCAGCAGTTCGTCATCGTCCAACAGCAGCCAGTCTGCGCAGTCGTTCCTGTCGTACGGAGCCGCCGGCCCCCTGATCGACGTCAACGACTCTCCGCACAGCCGACACCGTCCCGCCAGCATGCACTCCGCAGGTACGCAGCCACGCGTTGATCGAAAGACACACGTACACCCGGTGCAAATTTGATCCTACATCGAACTATTCCGGGGCTTGACGCGCGCTAAATTTTTGCATACATGCTAATTTTGCATTGTATACACGCTAAGTACCCGCTAGTCTGGTCTAAGTTAGCTCCGCAAATGGAGGTGGGTCTGGCCTTCTTAGAAGTGTGCTAAGTATGATTTAGCGCGCGCCTCGCGCCGGCCTGGCCCAGACTAATTAGTTGATGTAGGATCACATTTTGCAGTCTGTACGGGGTAGTAGTTATGAGCGCGGCCTATCGACTCTAACGAGTATAAAAATATTAGCATTCGTAGCGTCCGTGCTGTTTGAATGTCGTCGTTTACGTGGATAATCTTCATTTTTTCAGAGAGTGGAATCTGTGCCGATATATCCACGATAGAGAGTGTGTCGGACGTTTCCGAGATTACGGAAATCTCGAAAACACATCGAACAGACAGTGCCGGAGAGTCACTCGCGCCAGCTGTTGTCGTGTAACTGACAATGGTGCTGTGGAACTATGCCTAGCTTTTGTTATGTAACATCGGGTGTAAGCGGCTCTGCAGTCACTGGGACCAGCTGTTTTTTTAACAGCAATGATTAGGACCCCATTGTCCAATCGTGCATTGGCGAAAGCTGTCCGATGTACATACAATGTAATATACATTTGTACATGAGTATCATGTATGTAGGTTTTGTTAGCGCATTGCCTGTTAGTTTTATTTTAGCTTGTCGTGCAAGAAACCAAAATCAATGCATATTGGTAAATCGTTGCATAGAAAATCATGATCATTCTATTACTTACATGCAGTATACTGTAAGAATATATTGCTTTTTAAATTGTTAATTAGGTATTTAAGGATATTATGAATTGTTGAGTTTCCAAGGCTAATATGGACTTTTCAGGCAATCCACAAAATTTTGTGTAATAAGTTTTTACTTTTTAAGTGTGTGAATAAGCTTTTTAAGGTTGTTTACTTTCGTTTTAATTTTCATGATCATGTCCAGGTAGCCTTGAATCTCACACTGTTGTAACTTATGTGTACGTGTAAACTAGATGCTGTTTTCATATATGAAAACAGACCAAAATCTTGCACATACCCATGTTGTTTGTGTACTGTTCTGAACTTTTGTAACAGTGGATTATGTTGTGCAGATAGGATGCACAGTGTCCTGCTTAAGGCAAATCGAAAGCGCTCTTGCAGCCCTCATTGTATAAAGATATATAAAATGTTTACTCTGGCTGTAACTAATTCAGAAACTGTGGTAGGATTCAAATATGCGAACTTGTACAAACCTGCTGATTACCCTTTCTAAATTTAGTATAGTTAGTTTATTGCATAAATATCAACTCGTCCTGAGAAACGTCTGATGAAGCATTTTGGTCAAACCATTACTCGCTTTGGAGTAGATATAATCAAAGTAGAATAAGATATATTTTTGATGCAGTCCGTGGATGCCATATATCACACGGGAAAAACGCCAGTGGTATTATGTACAGATTCCAACTCTGCCCTACTTACACCCACATGGGTTTGTAAAATGCTTACTATATGCATACATGTTTGGCAGAGCGAGTCGGTCATTGCCTATAGTAACAACGGGAAGAGAGAATTACGTGTGATACAACGTAACAGGGTTTCATGGAGTTTGGTACAATATTCGCAGAATCTCATGCTTTGACATGCGAAATAATGGCATCGTTTTGGGTGCGCGATGTGGACAGCTTGACATTCATGACAACACAGAGGTGGGACACATGGAAGTACAGATCTGTGATATTGCAATTACTAATTACTGATGCAAGAATACATCCTATTTAATTACATACGCACACATAATACACACAAACACTATTACCTGCACACTTTTGCACACCCACACGTGCTTGCCGTCATGAATTTAGTGTTGCAAGTATTACAGAATTAAGTACTAGTTGCCATGTCATAACAGAAAATGTGAAAAAGGGCATTGGTCATTATTGTAAGAACTTCTGTAAAATTCTAGGCAATACAAAATGTAAATTTTAATTGCATGCGAGGTAATTGCAAACCCTAAACATGTTTCCCAATCACTGGAAAGGTTGCCTTTTCCTAAATAGTACTTTTGATAATTGATTGCATTTGAGCGCAGTTCTAGAATTTGCAGGAAACCTGTAACACAGGCCGTACAATGCCTATGCAACACACTTGAGGAATTCTGCAGTGTGTGCTTATCGTTTGTAAAACGTCTGTTGTAAAAAGTAATTGCTTGATGAATTGGATTTGAACCATCTATGTTTAGACACCACTGTAGACCTAATTTCGCAAGCCATTTGTGAGCATTGTGTAATCAAAACTCATGTCTCAGGCACTCTGCAGAATGTGAATAGTCTTTATTTATTCTCGAAAATAACATGTTTGTACATAACTGAAAGTCATGCATTCCTATCATGGCTGTATTACATTATCAATAGTAAACTCACGATATAATTAACATACTGTTGTTGTTGTTTTGGCTTGAAATGCTGTTGATAATTGTTTGTCATACTTTTATAACGAAACAAACTACGTGACACCGTTATTTTTTTGATTGCTGACAAAAATGTAACATGATATTAAGTAGCATCTGGTATTGTTCAAATTTAGTACAAGCTAGCTTAAAATGTTCACACTAACATGTTATGAGTAAATATGAAAGAATAATGACTAGATTAAATTTTGCCAATAAGTGCCCCTTGCAACAGCATTACACACAGTACCTATACAATTGCTAACTCATAGATGTCAACTTCTCGAAATGGATTCAATGAATGTACGGTAGGTTGGCTTATGCTGACCTGTTGCAGGTATAAAGTGTCCACCAGGGTGTTCAATGGTCTTTGGATCTAAAAAGTACTTCTGAAGATCTATGCTCATTTCTGAAAAATGATGGCATAGTATTTGAACTCATACTGTGAAATGCAATCAATAATATGGCATGCAATCAATGACATGAAATCAATGCAATAAATGCAATCAATGAATGGCCAAACACAAATAGAACATTCAAATGGAAATACGAGAAAGATCATTTGCTATCCAAAGATAATCAGCTTTGCAAACCTTTTGGTATCACCTGATCCGTATCTCCAAACACATGCAGTGACGGGACTGATATAGGCTTGGTATAAAACGTATCATGACACCCAGATCTGCTCTTGTAGCCAGCCACAAGCACTGCAAACTTAAACTGAATATCTGGGTCTGAAACAATGTCATTACAAAACATCAATCACGGATTCCTTCATTTTGGTAGATATCAATCACTATGAGTATAATCTGACATTTATAACCATGGAGAACCTGGCAGAGAAGGCCATCCTGTACCAGGGGTGGGAAATAAAGTCACATTTACTTTGTGAAATTAGATTGTTAAATCGAAGAAATGAAGAAAATGAAACGTACTGATTAAACAAATTTATTCAAAACGTACATGTATATATTGACATGCACAACAATATTACCTGGTAGTATTGAGTCAATCAGTCAGTTAGAAGATGGAATAGGAAATGTCCGGTTGCAACCAGTGCACACCATGAGGAAAAGGTTTGCTACATTTTATTATTACAGCCAAAATATGGCAAACTAAAATTTGCTAGACTTTCATGGCCGATTCACCACTTGTTTCACACCCCTGTCATAGACTATAGCTTTACCATATAACTTGCTGTTTAATGAATGTTCAGTCAGGTGAAGCACTATGAACCTGTGCATAATAAATATCATACATGACTAGTTTATAACAACACACCTCCTTGCTCTCTCATTCCACAGAGAATAGACACCATGGATGCTCCTTGACTGAAACCTAGCACTCCATCAAAAGGGCCCTGAATAAGAGATAAGGTTACAAAGATTTATAAGGCACAGAGACTGCCATGTCATTCTACGGCAAAAACTTCTTCATAATACAGGTTATGAGTTACACAATGTGAAGTAGTTAATTAATAGTACAACTATCAATAGGTTCATTACATGTTCTCTAAAAGCTGCACGTATCACATCCACAGAAGTAATAAAACCATCATCTATATCTGTAAAATCTTGGGCGCGGTAGGATTTTTCCCGAGTACTAAACCACCAGCCTCTGTTGCTGTCATTTTCTGTAATAATAACACATGGGAACCAGTGTCAAAACTATTCTAGTTAGGAAAAATCAGGACTATAATAACATTTTAACTTAGTACATTACAATAATAGCCTTGATCACTTTTAAAGTTTCAACTGAATTACATTGTCCATGTGTTGGACCTGGTATCATTAGCTCACTGGCAATGTTATTGGTAAATAAACAGCTGTAAAATATGTCAAATATTACCGGCAGTGGCAGATTCTGCATTCTCGCAATTTGGTAATATTTCGGTCACATCATTGGGAGCAGTAATAAACACTGAAACAAAGATGAGGGATAAAAACCAATGAAGTATGCACACATTGCACACATACTTAAAAATTTCTTACAAGTACAAAATGTAAACTTATTTAGTCTATTATTTAAAAAATACACAGCAATTATTATTATATTCTTACCAAACTCAGCTTGGCTTTTCATGATTTTTCTAAAAGCCCCCATCTTCTCCCTGAAAATCTTAGCATTCTGCCTATAATGCGCAAGACAGAGGTTTTATTAGAATTTTTCCACACAGGCCTTTCATACATGTTGGGTCCAGCATGCTTTGCTAACTGACAACATCCAATAAATCCTACGACATGTGTTTACTTTTGGAAGTCCTAACACAGTCATCCTGTGTTAATACAGCCTGAGTTAATACACCTGTGTATTGGGCCACTCGTAACATGTGCAATTGACTCCAATTGGTACAATGCCCTTCCAGGCCCTCCCCCATCCATCCATAAATGACATGCCTTCTGAAATTCCAGGAGAGAACCCTGCATATATTTAAGAAATAATGCTAATGGTGACTTTACATTTAGAGAAAAATATTGAGCATGTACACTAATATAATCTAATAATGTTACTATTCAGCAATTTACTTTAGATTAGATCGAGGAGGTAATAGTAATATAAAGATAAATTAAGTGACAAACCTGTATCCATGAATACAAAGTACCTGAAAAAAATTCAAATGTGGAATAAACGGATAAAACACAGACTAATACTGAAGATTCTTTCAGGTGCACACAAATGATATGAACAAATTCTGACTTTATTATCAGGCACTGGCACATGTACATACATCTGAAATTACATGTGCCGTAACAAATACAAGCAAAACCCCAACATTGTGGAATAAAAAAAAATGCTGGAAATAGTTCACACAACATTTTGGAATGAAAATGTGCAATTTTGTAATTACTGAAATAATGGGTATACATTAGAGAACCACTCTCACCGAGGAGACAAAACATTCCGATAAGGCCAACCCTCAGTGCCAGCAAAGCACTATAGCTCTACTTTTGTACATACTGAGTGATACTGACACGTACTGCACTGGCACCGGTAAACATCAGGTTTAGCGTCGTAAATTAACTTGCAAATGCCACCGCCAGATGGCGCTACGCGGTCTATCGGCGTTTCGGGCGTATCAGTGGAAGTTCTCCACCAGCTTCTCCCCCTCCTCCTTCTCCACCAGCTTCTCCTTTCTCCCCTAATTCCTCCTTCTCCACCACCTTCTCCCTTCTCCCCTTCCTCCTCCACCAGCTTCTCCCTTCTCCCCTTCCTCATTCTCCACCAGCTTCTCCCTTCTCCCCTTCCTCATTCTTCACTAGCTTCGATCTCCCTACTCCACCTATACTACTAGTACTACTCTAAACCTCCTCCTCCTCCCTTCCCCCTCCCCACACTGCTCCTTCGCTACCCTGTACCAAAACTACGAGAGTGCTGACGATGTTCCACTGATACCGCTGAGAGTTATAATTTACGACGCGAAACCTGATGTTTACCCACGGTGTCCGTGAGTGTGACTATCATTCGAGTACTACTACTACTAGTACTGCTGATAGGGTCTATGTCCCCCGGGGTACTGCCGGAACGTTCCCTGGGTACGGTCCGGTATACCGAAACGTACCCTGGTACCGGTACTATATTATATGCCGGACCGTACCTAGCCTACTCCACTAACGAGTCTATAGGGACTCGCCTACGCATACTCCCTAACCCTAACCCGAACCCTAAACCTAATCCTAACCCTAATCCTAACCCTAACCATATCAAATAGTGACCAGGGTACGTTCTGGTATACCGGACCGTAACCAGGGTACGTTCCGGCAGTACCCTGGCCTGGGGGACATCTACTTGACCCTATGAGCACTAGTACTACTACCTCGTGTTTACTTCTACTTTTACTTCTATACTGGACAGTCCGTAAGGAATAAACGTCCAGGGCTATAGCTAGCCATGGGGTGTGACCTATGGGGGCCATGGGGTAGCTTGGGTACAGCAAGGTAGTTAGCATTTTTTTTGCCGAATTATTTTTGTTTGTTATGTTCTCATACTTGTCGGTGTCCACTACGCTGGATATAATGTTTATTTACTATATTATAATTACTATTAGTTTAACGTAGAAACCGCTCAAGTGCATGTGACTAAGTAAGTGTTGTGCCACATCATGCATATAGGTTCCTGACAATCTATGTCAGTTATATGTCACGAATATACATATATACTCATAGAATGATGAACATATCACACCTTGTACTTTGAGTTTGAGGGCGCTGACATATTTGTCGTCCTCTTGTTTTGAGGAAAGTGCACGTGACTAAAGATGGCAGCGCCCATGACAATTTGAAATTGTATGCTAGTCACTACTAGTAGTACTAGTAGTAGTAGTAGTAGTAGTACTA